ACTTCTCTCAGTAATTATCTACATCAATTTCAAGTTAAATCTTAGTTTGGGAACACAAGTTTAAATGCAAGAAATATTTTCAATTCGTACAAATAGCTTACTCAGAAATTATGTAAAACTGCAGTGCTTTACTTCACTAATGCATTCTCATTAGAATTGATAAATTTAACCCTTCACTTTGCCTTTACTATATTTTCGGCTTCGGGTAAGAGCGGTGTGATTGCATTCCTAATTGACTTAATTACCGCAAATAATGGCCTTAGGGCATAAAACTTGATACTATTCTGATAAAAATTCTATGTAACTTTTATGCCATTATTGAAAAAAACTAGTCAAATCTGATAAGAAAAAGCTGCGACTTGTTTTGAAAATGAGGCGTAAAAGGTTACCAGCGAGAATATTCGTTTGGCATCCGTTGTACCATTATTGGCGACTTTATCGCTTGCGCCGGCAAAACGGAAAAGTACCAAAAATACAATTGAACAACAAATTGCACTTTTGTGCGTACGTTAGCACCAGAAATAGGCAAATTCGGTGATTGATAATATACGCAGTGGATGCATGTTGGAATTCCTGTCTGTAGTTTTGTTTAAAATGAATGTGGTTTCTTATATATTGGTAATATTCAGTGGTTAGGCTGAAAGGCATTATTTAAGCGAAGTTCAAAACTAGTGCATAATTGGTAGAAATAGGGCAGTTCAAACCCATATAGAGGTCGCTCGAGATTTGAATATCCCTCAAACTGTCACATTAATAGTTTGGAGCCCCTTTTTAAGCACTGGATCAGTTGACAGACAGTTTGGTCAAGAGTGATCAAGAGCAATAACTGCATCAGAAGACCATTTTCTGTCATTGTTGGTTCTCAGAAACCATGAAGCAGTTGTGAAAGATTTGGTTTTAGACCTTCAGGCTGCCACAGAAACTCAAATTAGTCATTCTACTCCTGCATGAAGGTTGGCCTGTGTGCATGAAAACTAATGGTTTCCAATGCACTCCACTCCCTCCAACTTCCAGAGGGGTCTCGTTTAAACTGGAGTCGCCATAATGTTCATTGGTGCCGAGATGACTGGGCCTGAGTGTTGTTTGCTGACGTGTCCAGATATAGTCTGAACAGTGATTCTAGACATGTTTTAACATGGAACTTGCCTTCCCTTATCTGTGAAATATCCCGTTTTCGTGACCACAGTTTAATGGTTTCGGGAGGAATCATGAAAAATTGCTTCACCAAGCTGCATGTCTTTTAAGGACGCTCTGTAACCACTCAGAAATATGTGGATGAGGTATTGGAATCCCAGGTTAGACTGTGTATGGGTGCTGTTGGCTCACAATTTTTGCTAATGGATGGCAATGCTCAACCTCATTGAGTATATGTGGTGTCTGAATACTTGCAAACAGAAGACATCACTCAAATGAATTGGTCATCTTACTCACCCAACTTTAACCTGATTGAACATGTGTGGGATGCCATAGTGGTGCCAAATTTCAGTGCATCAAATTCTTTCCTTGACTCTCCTGGAGCTAAAAAGTGCACTTTTGGAAGAGTGGCATGCACTTCCACAAGATTTGATCAACTCTTTGGTAAAGTCTGTCAAATCAAGGTGTGAGGTATGCATATCTGTCCGAGCTGACCATACAGCATTTTAAAGAAAAATGTTTTCCACAAAATGACTTAATTCTTCCCATCGTTTTCTAGTTTCTTTAAGTTTGGTTTTAATTTCAATATTTTGCAAATAATCAACTGCAAACATTGTAATGTATGTTAAATGCTTTTGTACAAATTTCTGTTAATAATTTTTCATTAAGTATCAGTTATTTGTTATTTCTGTCATTATCCTTTAATTTTGATGACCAGTGAAAAAATATCAAATTTTTTTTTTTTTTTTTCATTTTTTTTCCACATTTTCTATGTAACAGAAGACAGTTATAAAATATGAGCATTTACAGATTTTGAATTTTATAAAAGTTTCTTAATCCTTATCTTTTGGCCAGAAGGCCTTTGTTTATTTTCAGTTTTGTTTGCATTTTAGTATTTCATTTCATTCAAAGTTCACCTCATTTAAACTTTTTTGCAGTTCATTGTAATTTGATTCTCTTCACTAAAATGCCATTTTATTATCGAGAGATGCATGTTGGTTGCTGTCATTACGGAAATTTCCTGTTCTAGAGATAACATGATACACAATCATCATTCAGATCATAATTTTAATTTATTGGTTTGCTATTTCTTTTAAATCTAGGGAATTAAAGTAAATTATTTACTTCTGACAAAATGCTGTTATAATTGATGGTCAAAAAAGACATAGCAAACATTGTGGTAGTTAGTGTTGTCCCCAAAGGCACTTTGAAATTTGAAAAAATGGGAGGGGCTAAAACTAAATATAGAAACTTGGAGCATTCTGTAATTGAAATGCATGGTAAATCAAAATTCCGAGGCATTTATGTTTGTGATACCCAGTTTTAACTTTTATGGAATCAGAAAGACCATGAGTGAGAATTTTTTTTTATTATCATGTTGTAAAGCATAATAATATAAAAATGGGCAGGAAGCTACATTAGATTTCTGTAGATCTTATGTAGCTGCAAAGCTGTCATGATTTTGAAGAAGGGAGACTATATCAGTTATTCTCCAAATCAGTAAATTTTACATAAGATCTACGAAAATCTGTGAATTACTTGCTTTTAATTACTGTATATTCGGGTGTATACCACACACCCATAATTTCAAACTACAGTTTTTAGTCATATTCGGCGCATAACGCTCACCGTTTTCTTTGTGAAGAAACCTGGAGGATATATGTGCGATGCTGTTATTTCTTGAATTCATTCATTAAAAGATTTCTCCCAGGCTTTTGAATAATGGTATATTGAATTGACAAGTGATAAAGTTGCGTGTGTGTGGGAGGATGTTTGAGGGAGTAAATAATTCAGTGCAGGTGTGCACAAGTATATTATTTGAGGGTTTAGAGATAAGGATGCTATTATTGGAGGTAAGAATGCAGTCTTGGACCTGAATGAATTCGCAGATGTTTTCTCTCCTATATTTTGTATTAAAAGTGCACATTATAGACCAGAATATCCAGTTTTTTTTTTTTTCAAGTGTAGATCATAAATATGTAAGTAAAAAAATCACAGACTATGAAGGGAAACAAAATCTTGCTAAAAATATTTGTTTTTGTTAAAATGTAAGTGAAGTGGCTACTTCATTATTATGAAAATATGCTGTTGTTTAGGTTTAAAATGTGTTTTCACTATATGCTCATGTGAGACTGCGTTAGTAAAACTTCTTTTTCTTAATCCTTTAACTAAAGGACTAGAAAACTAATCAGTAGTAGGCCTAGGAAACTAGACTAATCAGATAAAATTATGAAGTTATGTATATGCATTTTTTATGTTAAGGGAGTATATGTGTAGTTTATTATTTCATTTTTATATGTGTATTCCTTTCATATTTTATAATTTTAAGCTGTATTGTTACCGCTTCTTTTATTTTTTCTTTTTGAGAATAGTTACATCATTTCTTCATCGAAAGAGATGTTTCTACATAATTTAAACTGCATTTATATTTTTCATTTCAAATATGTATAATTCAGTAAATTATACATTATATATAGTCTTTTGTTGTAAACTATGAAAACCTTCAGAATGAGTTGCCAAGTAATTGTTTTTGAAGTGGGGTCAAAAGAATAATTTGATTAAAGGAATTCCATACTTTTCTTGATGTCCAACAAGATGCTGTCTTTAACACTTGTAATTTACCTACGGATAGTATATAAAAAGAGCATCTTCATCCAATCTGAAGTTATTACATTGTCATTAAAGTACTTAAGGAAACCTGTATCTCTTTGCGGCTAGGAAACCATTTAGGGTTGCCAAAAACAAATTATTAAGATTTAAGTAATCATTTTGTTTAAAGGTCAACATACATTACTTAAAATTGATTACTTTTCAAATTACATTATCATCTAAACATTTTGATAATTTTTTGGCTGTGGTAGATCTTCTTTACTTTTTTAGTCAGGCCTTATAATGTGTAAAATGATTTCTTCTTTAGAAGTGTAAAACTTACCACAAGCGTGTAAACTTGCTCATAAATTCATGCAAGCTGAAGCAATCTCATTTTTCTTTATATATTTTTTAGAACAATGGGAGGGAGGAATTGAATTCAAAAGATATGTTTCATTACCAATATAAAGTAAAAAAAAAGAGTTGAATTTTGTATCGAGTAGTTTACCACCTGTTAGATATTCACTGCAAATTTTCAAGGTCACGGTGCATAAAAGTTTTGAAGGAATGAGACACTTGAATCCTAATTTTAAACATTTAGATTATTTTTACATAACTGTATGATGCTCTTTAATTGGATTTTCTGATGTGTTTCTATGATACGCTGGCAGAGCAACTGATGCTTTTATCTGTATTTATGCCCATGAATATATCTATTATAATTTTGGTCAAATTTATTCAACGTTGTTAGGTCTTTAGAATTTTGCTGCAAGTAAATTTTTTACCCTCTTTATAATCTTTATGTTCTTTCATAACAATTATATACCTGCTTTTATGTGTTTAACTGTAGGAAGAATGTAATTGTACACTGTATATAAGAGTGAGTACTTCAACAATTCAGGCCTGAAGAAATCCAAAAATATGCTAAGTTTTGATAATGAGTAATTCTCATATGCCCATATAATAATAATTGGGGAATATATTTATTCTGTAAAACTAAAACCGGCAAGAAGATAGTCCTAGTCAAAGAAACATTGGTATTATGCATGTATATAATTTCAGAACACCAAATTTCTTCATTGCCACTTATTTCTTTTGAAGCAGAAAATTTTATTTATTTTATTATAATTAACTCTCCATTTTTCTGGAAATAACGTGTATTTTGTTTATTACATTTTGTAATTATTGAATTTGTGTTATATTTGTTAATGTTTTTATTATGTAAGTGTGGTTTAAAATAATTCGAAGATAATTTCTGAAACATTATTTTATTTCAGGAATTATTTATGTGATGTTGTTCGTATTAAATTAAAATGTTATGAAGTGTCAAAGACTAGAATTCAGTCTGCTGAAGAATATTTAAAACATTTCTTGGAGGCAGAAGTTAAAAATTTGTGGCCTCCAGGTTGGATGCAATCAAGGTATATGCTAATTTTATTTATGTATCTAAATCTATATAGTCAATTTGTGCTTAGTTCAAAGTTAAAATTTTATGTAAATCCATTTGTTATGTGTAATTTTTTATTCTTTGAGTAATAATGGTTTATTGTAGGATACTATTTCGGGAAAGTCGAGCTGCTCACTTTTACATAACGTGAGTTTAATATTTGATTTATTATTTATTTAGAAATTAATATGTGTTCATAATCTTTAAATAATTTTTTTATCTTAATTTCATTTTATTTGCAATACTTGCACTTTTTTCTTGTAGGAATCGGCCCAAGAAGCAAATTCTTGTGCCCAAGAAAGTTGCCAATCCATTATCTTCAGTCATGCTTACAATGAAGCCTGCAGTATCTCTTCTTAATAATGCTGTTGTATCTCAGGAATCTGAATTTGATCAAATTTTCCAAGAGAAAAGTGTGCCTTTGATACCACAAGTGGAAAATGCATTAGAGAGGAGGGAGAATGCAGATCTTTTGAATTCAAATAATGGCATAACTGCTGAAGAAAGAGCAGCAGAATTTGCTAAACTCTTCACACTTCCAATCAAATCTCCTGTGCCAGATGACTTTTCACCATCAAAAAACCAAGAAAATATTGCAGCTAGTGCTAAAGTATCAAGCGATAGTACTCCACCAAAGATATCATCACCTGTTGTTAATGCAATATCTGATTCAGTGGTGCCATCAAAAACTGTTCCTTCAAAAAATGATAAACACTCCAGGGCTGTGCAGCAAAACAAGCAGTCTTCTTATACTTCCAAAATATCTGATTTCAATAATTTTGCGGAAGGATCACTTGCTTCAGATATGCTAGCTCGTATCATATGTGCTAGCCTGGCTGATTTTCCATATGCAGGTTCATCTAATGTTGAAAATACATCATCACTTAAAACTACCAGTGTGATTTCTCCTAATCCTGGTTTAGCAAAGGAGTCTCGCACATTAAATTCAAAATTCGCAAATGACATTCTTACTAGTCATAAAAAACTTGAAGGTGGAAAGCCACTTAATGCAGAGACACGAAAACCTAGTCAGGAAACTGCACTTCATAATTTCTCTAGCCTCGGGATAAGCATTGAGACGTTGTTAAATCCTAAGAGTCAATCTGTTTTGAGGCCAACTGATTCTAGTGTTTTAGGTAAAACTAAGGCTGTTACTTCTGACATTTCTGCAGCTGTGAATTTGAAACTGAAAGATTCAATTGTTCCTCACTCAAGACAGTTTGCTGAGGCATTTGAAAGAACTCCTGACAGTTCTCCAGGCAATAAGAAGCACAGTGTGAAAGGATTAAATATCCATGCACAAACTTCTGTTTCTAATGCTAGTGCTTCCTCTCGTCTTATTAATACAAATGAACACATGGGTGATTATCCTTCTAGCACCTCGCCACGATCTACAGCTGAAAACACTCATAAATTAGCATATGATTTAGCTAAATATAACACAGCTGTCACAACTCAGGGTAATGTAACTGGACCGTATAAGAAAAGAACCAAATATGCTGTAAGTAGTAAGGTGAATGATCAGTGGAATCATTACTTGGATGTAAATCTAGGTGGTACACTACTTGAAGGAATGAAAGGTTTCCCCTTCCCTGTTAGTTCTATGCCTACTCCTCCTCCAGCACATTCATCATCACCTCTTCGTACAGTTGCTCATTCTCAGCATAATTCACCAAGGCAAAGTTCTCACATTTCTCCGGGATTAAGAAGTCTCCATGAATCTAAAAGTGATGTATCTAACCATAATACACAGGCTCATTCAAATATTATATCTGTAACAGAGGTACCGCGAAGGCAGTCTCTAGTAAGTTGATTATATAATTACATTATATATGTATATTTCAAAATAACTAATATGTTTGCCAAAATGTTAAATTTTTTGTGCAGTGCATGATTATATAGCTTAGTGTGTTCATTATGAAGTCATTTAGTTGCAGTTCCTATATGCCTTATTTAACATTTTTATTTTCTTGGTTATACACCCAAAAAGGAAACTGGAAATAATTCTGTGTCCAGTTCCAGAATCTTTCTTGAAATAATACAATTAGAGAAAGAAATACTCATAAAACTAGTTCATTTTTGAAGTGATGCCATTTTCTATTCCTTACTGATTTATGACTATGCAGTTCAGAAATATTTAAGATTCCTAACATTGTATTAACTCTTTCACATCAAAGTCGCCCAAAACGCCCAATCATTATGTCTGAATGGTTGGGCAATTTGGGCCGAAGGTCACCTAAACGCCTGAATCATTTTCTACCTGGTTTTTTTCCCCATCATTTTAGTGCATGGCTCATTGGTTTTAAGAGTTGTTAAAATGACATGGCAGTCATTCTTTTGAAGTGACTGAAAATAGTTCTGTTATTTGAATGCACCTTCCGTCTTTTTTTAGTGTTAGTGTTTAGCTATTGATGTTGCAATCCTGTCCTAAGGGGAAACTGCACACAGTGGTAAAACTGCAGGAAGATTCCAAGAGAGAAGTTATCACTTCTCTTAAGCAGGTTATTGTTAGTGTTATAACATTATACTTGGCTTGGGGGGGGAGAAATTCCATGCGTATTTCGAGTGAAACAGATTATGGCCTCTACTGATGCAAAAGAGTTAAAGTACTATTTTTAGAAAATAAGGGTGGAATTCACATGCTTTGTTGCCATTTGTTTTGTTTGCTCTGTTAAGGATGTATTGGGAAACAAAATTTATTATTAGCTCAAAGTGAAAATTTTGCTTGTTATATATAAAACTACTGTTTTGTATGTTCTCATAGTGTTATAATTGCAGTTGATATTCTGCATAAGCTATTAGCAAATTGTAATACTTTTGTCTAAAAGTTCATGTTCATAAGATAAGTGAGGCTGTACTTTATCTTAGTCCCACATTACTAGCATGCTGTTTATTAGCAAATGTGCCTATTTGTATTTAAGAATATTTGATGTGTGTTTCGGCACATATAATCATTAACGTTTTGTGCCAGGAAACACTACTACTACATTATTAGCAAATGTTGTCAGTTCTATTTCTAAGCAGAAGGTGAAATTTAACATATGTACGAATTATTAGCTCACTATTATTTCCGAAAACTTCCTTTTGTTACTTGGACATTCTTTTATTTTTAATACAGGTACTGATATTAGGAGCTTATATTACAAATAAGTATTAAAGAGTGTATTTTCTAATATGTGAATTTGACATGTTTCGCTAGGAAGGACATCTTTGACATTTGATTACGACAAAGCTAGCTGGGTCTGAGTGTCTTGTTTTGGGAAGGAATTTTTAAGAACTGTTTTTTTTATATGTAAAATTTATTAAATGAAGGAGCTTTGATTTGCATTGATTCTTTTTGGGAATATAGACGCTTTATAACTAAAATATTTTAATGGGTGTTTTTACATAATCATCAGCTGGTATGTTATGGGCTTTATGAATACTAACAGTGTTTATCAAAATGTATCTTTTACTTTCCACTGGAAAGTATCATATGAAAATCTCAGTACCTTTGTCTTTCTCGGTAAAAATACTGAGTGTATTTTATCATAAAGTGAATTTATTAATAATGTTTGCAACTGTTTAAATGTTCGAGATGTGTTTGCAAAAAAGATGACTTATTTGAATCTGTAAGATTGAATGGTTCCTGTCATGTGCAGATTTTTTACTCTAGCAGTAGTTATCTGTGAGAAAGAAAACGGTGTGCATGTATTCTGTGAGCACACGGTGAGGGTAAGTGCACATAACTTGGAGTAAAGGAGGGCTTCTCTGTGAGAAGTATTAATCTGGTTATGTAGCATCATTATCATTTTTATCTTTTCTTTCAGTGGTGAATTTTTAGCTGGAAAATTTGCACGTAATGGTCACATGGTATAACAGAAATGGATTGTTTTAGCTTTAAAGAAACACTGAGACTTAGATAGAAGACAGCATTGCATTGTCCATATTTGGTAACCCTGCCATAAAATTTGTGAACTACAATTAGAAAATAGTAGTAAAACCATTTATGTATAACTGAAATGGCAGACTTATTACCAAACTTGAAAATTCTGTATTTTAAATATACTACGGTACACGTCATTTCCAAAGACTACAAAAATAAGAATACAATTGAATTTGTTTACGTTTTTCTTACAGAAGAATCCTTCCTTTAAAAGGTTATTGTCTTTGTATGATCAATGAAAATGCAAATGAAATTACTACCCAGCTGTCGTATAATTGGAACATATGACATGGAAAATATCTAGAAGAGATTTGTATGTTTGTTACATTGCACTGTTACACAGAAAATTGTATACCTGGACATGTTTCATATGTTAATAGAATATATTGCATCTTGCATAAAATTGTTAGCCATTTTGTGATATTATTGAAATCTTCATGCAGAATGGTTATTTGAAGGTAATCCTGTAATGTAATATAATTCAAACTTGTTTCTCTTGTATTTTTTTTTCTTATGTAGCATAATTTTTCAAGTGAATAAATAGAAATTATTGTGATTTATTCTTATTGGTTTTCTAAAGGTTCCAGCAAGCTTTACACTTCGAGCTGCATTACTACCTTATAATGCATAAAATATGTTTATGAAGCAATAATACAAGCATTAAAATTCCAAAATGCATAAAATATGTTTATGAAGCAATAATACAAGCATTAAAATTCCAAACAGAACAAAGGTTTTCAGTGGCACTATCTAATTAAAAGGTTGCATAAGGGATAAGTAATTCTTTGTGTGCTAATCAGCTAGTGAAAATATTAAGCAGCACATGAAATGCAGTTAAGTAGAGGAATATAGAGAGAAAAAATTTAATAAGAAATTATTTCAAAATATATATGGAGAAAAAATTTTCAGGAAGAAATTCTCACAAGACAGAAAACAGAGGAACTAGTTTAAATCTGACACAGTCAAAAAGTGAAATGTCACTTTGAAAACTTGCTAAGAACTGTATGTTGCTTTATGAAGTACATGCTAAAATACTATTAAAATGACAGTATTTAATATTTGACCTAATTAAAAGGCATCTGTTTGCAACATCAAGACAGAAACAATCTGTGGAACCTTAAGAAACTCTAAAATGAACAAAAACTTATTGGCAGAGCAGCAACTGTGTGTTTGCGGATTTCAGCTAATTCTGTCAATTTCAAAGGCAAACAGTTACTGATCCCTCTTCATCAGGAGCAAAGAAATTTCAGAATGCAAATGGATTGCAGATTTATTTGCTTTTGATGAAGAGAGATTTGTATCTGTTTGTCCTCAAAATTGATAGAGTATTGACTGAAATCTACACCAAACACAAGGTTGTTGCTTTGCCTAATTTTATGTTTTACTTTGGTGTGTTTCTCTTCTGTCTTGGAAAACTTATTGATTTAAAACTATTCTTACCACGCATTTCCCTTTGTAATGAAGGATCATAAGAATCATTGTTGCTTGTGTTACAGATTTGGTTTAGGAAGATAATTTTTTCATTGTTAATTATTGGAAGTGTCAGTTAAGAGTCTTTCATGCAGATGTAAGCATTTAGCTCTGCTTTTTTTGTTATAGTAAATAATAAGCATACCTGTAAAGTAATTTGCAAAAAGATATGCTTCCAATTAGCACTGTGAATGATACGGAGGAGGGTTGATATGCAATTAATTAGTTTTGATATGTGTGAAGTATGAAAAATTCTTTTTTAAATAGCCTGGTAACTTCTTTTTAATTCTGCTGTAGGTGCATGATAAAGTATGGAGGGTTTTAGTTATGCAATGTATATAATTCCATTTGATCACAGAATTCTTTTATGGATAGTGATCTTTGCAGATTGGACTGCTTTATAAGGGTGTGCCATTTAAAAAGTTGCCTATACTGTTATGATGTCGGTTGCAGTTGGAAAAGACAGAAGCCTTCATGAATGTTTTTCAGCAGAAAATTTTCAATTTGAAAAAAGCAGCCTTCATTAGAGTATAGGTGTATTTATGAAAGTATGATTTTCATTTCAAAATTATAATGCAAATGTATTCATACTTTTCTGGCATAGCTTGTCTCTTTATATTTTTCCTGCTGCACATAAAAATGCAACAATTTCACATATAATTGCACTACAGTTATCTTTTATGTACAAAATTCATAAAAATATTGTATAATTCGGTTAGATGAACTCTTGGGGAGTGTATTGAGAAATATTTGTTAATATTTCCAAAGGATAGCAGTACAAGTCCATCTGTTTAATTTACTTGACACCTCCTCTTCTGAACATGTGGCTATGTAGAATCTGATTCAGCTTTACTGGTTCAAACTTTCTGGAAACAGTAACTATTAAAATTTTTCTTCTTGTGGTTAAATGAATGTCATGAGAGAGTTGAAAAGGCTGTTGCATTTGTTATGCCTCACTGAAATGGACGAATATCAATCTTTGTTACCAGCACGGCTCTTGGATAACTTTGTCCAAGCTTTCTTTCTACATATTCGATATCCTTAAATTATTTCCATGGGGCATTGCAGTAAATTCTCTAGCAGTCTACATCTGAGACTGTCCCCTGTGCCTCATAACATTGGTAATTACTCATTTTAACTGTCTGTTTTTGAATTTCATCAAATCTTGGAGTACTTCCCTCCCCCCCAAAAAAAACAACAACATGAAAGCTGTCATTGAAGAGTGCATGCAAATGAAGTGTGAAAAAATGCCATGTGCATGTTTAACAATTCTTTTCTTTAATTTTCTTCCCACACGCACATGTGTATTTGATTCTAAAAACGTACATTTTCTGTTTGAAAGCATAATTTCTGCCTTTCATTCAGTACATTTTGAGAAGATTTACAAAATATGCAAATTCTGTTCATTTTGAACATTAGTATAACTATGCTGATTTTCCCTTAGAAGGTTCTCTGTGAAGGCACTTCTCCATTTGAGCAGATAACTGCTGCAAAATAAATATTTTATAATGTTCCATAGTTGGAAGATTTCTGCAAAAATACCCTTAATCTTAAAACTAAATAATACTCATATAAAATTAAATGAAGAGATCTGTATTGTAAATTAAAGTATAGGAGTTCTGTAGTTTAAAAGAATTCAAGACCTTAAAATACATACAAAATTTGTATGGGAAGTTCAAAGTTTTTATGCATTATTTATTTAGAAATATGAATAAATATGTTTCTTATGTATTTAGAAATATCTGGTTGTAACAAAACTTTGCTTCCAAAAAATATTTTTAATAAAGTTAGGGGGGGAATGATAGCAGTACCTTTAGTGCGGGTATTAATCACAACCCAAATTTATGATGATCTGCCAATGTCTTGGTAGTTTTTTAGAGCCTTTGGCTCTAAAATGTATTGGCCACAAGCCCCAAAACCGATCAGCCTCATTTCTGACATCCTGCGCAAAATGGTAAAAACCACCAACAAGATGTAGTTGTAGGTGTGAAAAAAGTTGAAGTCTGAAGGAGCGATATCAGGGCTGTAGGGTGAGTATGACCAGAGATCCCATTTGAGTCCGTAAAGAGTCCAGCTGGTGAATGCAGACACATGTGGTCTTGCATTATCTTGATGGAACATTACCTTTTTACACAGGAACTCGGTACAATATTTTCCCTTGATTTTAGCAGCATTAACACAAACTAACATCTCTCTTGTATACCGTAGTGTTGAGTGTTTGACCCTTTTCCAAATACAGTACAGAGTGAAATCCGGATGTCCATTATCTGGAATGATCTAAAATCCGGACTGCAAAACCGCCACCAACGTTTTCTCATAGACTTTATGCATGCGCATTTGATTCCCCTCTCTGCACATAATAAAATATGTGGAAAGTCCCGATTTTTAATTTTACTTCAGCACTAAATAAAATACCTTGTTATTGAAGAAACTATCATTTTAAAATAAATTTTTAAGATCAATAATTTGGCTCTGTTGCTGCATAACTGCTTGGCATGCATCTCAAACCAAAACATTCCACATAGATAATCATTAATCTGACACCAACCTGGTGAATCATTATCTATTATGCTTTCCTTTCATCACCTCATGTTTATCAAAACTTGACAAATGGAATAATGATTCATGTAGCAATGCCTACGCAATTTTTTTATGTTAATAATTGAATAGTAAAGGAATGTGGTGGTAACTTTCAAGTTGACATTACATGCTTGGCGATGATTACAGATTTAAGTTAAATGTGCTAAAAAATTTTGACGAAGAAAAATTTACCAAAAATTTCTTTCTATATGCTAAAAATGGATTTACTTGATGATACTCATAGACCCAAATATTAAATTTAGGGCTATTTGAATTAAGAATAATTGATTTGTTATTCACATAAACTCAGAACCAGCTTATGCAGCATCCAACTATTAAACTTGTACGTCAAGTTTATGGGATACATAGCCCGACTAAATGGACATGGCACTAACGTCTTAACTCCTTAATAAGCTCTTGAGTGGTTTGCATGTTGATCTTCTTCCTCGAGTTCTCACAGGCAGGCCTCATCAACATCAGTAGGCCAGTCAGAGCACTCTGCTTCTTGAATGCCGTAGTCTTTGTTTTTGAACTTTCGGTACCAAATCTTCAGTGTCGTATGATACTACAACATTAGTACCTAGAGCTGTACACGATTTGGTGACATTTTGTAGCTGACTTTTTGGAACAGAACTGGAAGTAAATGATGGTTCTAATGCAATAGACAGATAGTTCCGTTTCGGATAACTTGTACTTAATGCTAATGATATTTTTTACAAATTTCACAGAAAAATGTTCTAAATCAAGTCTCTTTCTCTCAAATGCCAAAAATCGTTTGACAAAATATGATTAAACTTGCCAACACAAACTGTTTGTGCAGGTGATATTTGTGGTGCCGGGAAACTTTCATTAAAACCCAATATAAATAAATGAATGTTATAGAAAAAGAATGAATATATATTGTGTATGAAACTAAAATTAATATTTGTTTGAAAGATCAGTGTGAAATATGTAGAGGATAGTTAGTCAATAATGGAAATTAAAAATAAAGAAAGAAAGAAAGAAGGGTAACTAACCATAGTGGCTAATTGTATGGGTATGTTACTGAGCTAGTTAGCAGCCATGCTGAATGATTTGATGTTTATATAAATGATACCTCAATGCTTATAAATCGCCGAAGTCCCGATGAGTCTGGATTACGGACTTTGTACTGTATAGTTTTTCTGAGTATTGAATTATTATCTCTTATCATGAGAAAATCTTGCTTCAAAGATGGAATTTGTAACAGCATTTCAAATTAGGGGATGATTTATTCTTTTGTCCTTTAAATGTTACATTTGGGCATATCAACAATTGTTTAATGCTGATCAATTGGCCTCATATCCCGAATTTGTGCAAGATATTTTTGCCAGTGACTTCTGTGTTGTTTTACAGGTAAATTTGATTTTTTTTTAAATCCCTGTGTTTGAAATTACTAGTAAAAAAATCAGAAGATTTATGTGTTTGACATTGTATGTTTTTTTTTTTTTTTTTTTTTTTTTTATATCGGGTAAGTTATAATGCAACAGAAGCTACAGAAAACATTTGTGATGTTCATTAAGCTACAGTAGATGTTCATAAATGTCAGAGGTGGTTTGCTAAGTTAAAGTCAGGTAATTTTGGTCTTTGCATCTTGCTTTGTTCAGGAAGACCAGTATCTTCTGATAATGTCTTACGGGCAAAGGTAGAAGCAGATCCTTGTCGAATGATCGAAAAGTTGTCAGGTAAGTTTACCACACCTTAGTCTTCTTTTCAAGAATATTGATGCAGATTAGTTATTGGGTAAGTTAACAGAGGTGTTAGGGTTCTCCCCATTCTGTCAGTAGCAAACAGTTAATTATTCAGTCACCTGTAATTTGTTATTGCATTGTTATTGCATTCCATGACAGTCCCAAATATACAAGACAGTGGCTTTCTGCATGTCAAATTCCATTCTCAAAGTCTGGCATACATTCTAGAAAGGTACTATTATCTAAGATAAAATAACACTCCAAACAAGTATTAATTTGAAAGTCAAACAACAAAAATCAGCGTTATATTTGCTAATTTTCAGAGGACTAGTTTCGATGGTTTTACCAAACCATCATCCTCAGCTGCCAAAACGCAAATGAATGAGATAAGATATAGTGATTAGATAAGATAAGAATGGCTGGAGAGGAGCTAAAACTATTAGCGCCATCAATTGATGAAATGAGAACTGAAACATAGTTTCTTTAAACCCTTAAAGGCTAAAAGCAAAGATGGATTGGAATTAGAGTCTTTAACTAGAGCAGAAAGATATTTTTTTTTCACATTAAAAAAAAACTTTCTGAATTCTAAGTTTATCAAGACGTTTTTGTTGTTAATATTAACATTTGAAAGAAGCAGAACTTAAATTACTTGATCCAAGACTTGAAATATGTTTTTGCAGGCCTCTAACAAGAACTAAGATAGTCAGAAATTTTATTTATTTGGCTGCACATAGATTACATGAATAGGTGATTCAGAAAATTTTTTTTTTAAACTCTAATTTCAACTCCTCATGTTTCACAAAGTATACCACGAGGCTTGCACAAGTAAGTTTTATTTATTTTGTTATTCCCACAAATGTGTAAAAAAACTATGAAAAATAAAGGAATGAATAATAATAATAAAAAAAAAGAATAAAGTAAAGACAATGTAATCTAAATTGAGAATGAAATTCCAAAAAGCAGAAATTGTCTCTTTAGTCTGAAAAAGTTCAGAAAATATTGGTGGCCGAGATAGAGACAGGCACATTTAAAGTTGCCGGAAATATCTTTGCCACTGTTCTCACAGCTGCACAAAACACTTTAAATAGCACTTAAAATTGCTTCTGTCAGTCAAAAATTTAATTACTTTAAATCTGACGAAAATTTATCTTTTATTCTGTGAAAAATTGTAGGAAAGAAACTTTTGGTGCATTGTACTTTGGATGAGCCCAGATATTCTCTGTTCCAAATACAGATTGAATCATTTCTAAGTGCTTCCAATGAGAAATGACTTAAAATATAAATTTTCTATTGTATGTAGGATGGCATTCCAGCTGAATTTAGAACATAAAATTTTTATTGTATGTGTAATGGCATTTCAGTGCCAGATTTTAATGTAGTGTATTACTTGAGCTGTAGATTATTATGTGGTATTTTTTTTTTTAATTTTTTATTTTCTTCATTCATTTTTTTTATTACAGCTGAGTAATTGACATTTGATTCAATAGAAAACATACCATATGTTTTGACTTTTTTCATCAAGCACAGATTAATTAATATCAAACATAAATTAAATAGTACCAGTTATTGAAATTGATGTGGGCATCCAGCTAATATAAATCTAATTATTTTCACTGAAAATCCATAACATGTATCTAATTGTTTTTAACTTAGTAAAATCGTTTAAGATATCTTTTCCTGATTTTCAACTAGCTATGAAATTGTTTCAGATACAAGGCCCATGGAAGCCAAGTTCTCAAGCTCCAGCTACCTCCCTGAGCCCATTCATGGCAAACACATCCCCACCTATTTCAAACCAGTGTAAATCTACCTCACCAAACCATCATAGCTCAAATTCACATGTAAACATGTCACCAGTTCCAGCTCATTCCATGTCACAAATTGATAAGGTATCAGCTGCCTATAGCCGTAGTCACAGTCCCTTGCCTCTACGAGCAAGTCCATCTCATGTAACAGTTCTTGGTCATGCATCAAAAACATCACCATCAAGCACATATTCTCCACACATTGGACAACCTCCATATACGACACACCAGTCCAGTCATACTGTGTCATCAACGCTTCACCAACAAGCTCTTGTGCGTAGTAATGCTTTTGATCCTTCAACCTCTACAGCTACATCAAATTCCTCAGCTGGAACATTCACACCTAATCAAGGTAAGTTTTTCTAATTTGTGCAATTTAGAATTTGATGCTTAAAAACAATATCGATATACACAGATTTTTGATGTGAAGATACTGCAGGGTTAAGGCTGAGATTTGTAATTTATTTTTAAAATGAAATGTATACACACACAGACATAATAATTCTGTGTAGATAGATTATCAGTAAAGACATAAACTAAGAAATTTAGAACCAGTTTTTCGTGAAGGCCAAAAATTGAAATTCATAAGTAATAAATTTTATAAAATCCTCTAAATGTAAAAAAGAATTTAATAAATGTTAAAACTAAAATACTTCAAACAAGTAATACCCCAATTCAAATAATGAAGTTTAAAGAATAAAGAATGTAAAAAAAGATTAATTCAATCAATCCCAATGCTACTTTTCCAGGAGGAGGAGGAACATTGAAATGAACTGAAATCTCTCTTCCATAAAATATCTTTGCTTTTCTGTATCCAGAATTAGCTGATGAACCATTCCAATGTATTTTAATTATAATAGTTTTCTTTTTCCTTGCTTTGGGGAGGGGACCAAAAATTCTGTCCCCTCCCCAAAGCAAGGAAAAAGAAAGTAAATTCTAATCAAAACTCTGCCTTTAAACTAAGAGAAATCTATCCAAAGAATTGAAAATGCAAGTGAAATAATAAAATACTTAACTGAAAAATTAAAATCAAAATTTTACCTTTAAGCAAAGAGAACTTTATCCAAAGAATTGAAGTTATATACTTAATATTTTTGAAGCATAGAAGGGGAATCAGCTTGCAGTCATTGTTGGCTTATGCTGAAGGCTTACAGATGAAAAAAACAAAGCATGAACTTGAAGAATTTTCACTCTTTATTTCCATGCATATAAAATTATCTCTGTAGATATTTATCCAATCATAATGAAATCTAATACATTTTTATGATTTAATCATAATGAAATATGATACATTTTTATGATTCAATCATAATGAAATATGATACATTTCTATGTACATTGGTTTTTTAACAAGAAATGATGCAGACATTTTAGAGAAGTGAGGAGAATAATAAGTTAATTAGCTCGCCAAAGAATTCTAGAAACAAGCTATGATTGGTTAATATTAGTTTTAGTTGCCCCTTTTTCAGTAGTGTTACATAACACCGAAAGATCTCGAATTTGGGAAAACAGATGAATTTAGGTGGAGAATACCAAATCTAGAATGCTAATTTTGAGATCACCAATTATTTCTATAGCAGCTATCGGATTTTGTTATATCTTACATATTCCCTCTTCAAACAAAACGTCGGGGGAGCAGGGTGGCAGAAAAGGATGAGTGAAGCAAAAGAAAGTTTAGCATATGAGGAAAGACATGAAGTAGCATCAAGGGTATAGCCAGATGGTTTGCCTATTCATGACCTTTCTCATACATAGATTATGTAATGCTTAAACAACTTATTTACAATTATTGCAATAACAATATAATTTCTAAATTAACTAATAAATTAGAACAAATATAATTTTAAAAGTCCTTAATTCCTTTGAAAAAAAAAGGTCCAATGTCTTTTTGAATGTTCAATGAAAATTGTTTGAGTAGTCTCTTGATGAAAGTGGTTCCACTAGGTAAATGTTCAGATACTTTCATAGCGTTCTTAAAATTTAATTTTTGTGTATGAAAATATTAATAACTTTAATATTCAGTAAAATGAATTTTTACATTCAGTGAAATATAATACTCAATTTTACAATTAATTGCATAAATTCTTCTTATTGTAGACACGCATACATAATACAACAGAAAATTAAATATAAAAACATAATGTTATGGAATATACAATAATACCTTGATGATTAATTTGGCATGTCCTCTCCAACAAAATCAGTGTACCATCTTGTGGATGGTTGAGGGATGCTTAACTACAATAGATCAAAAAACCTCCTTTCCTTAGACAAGGTAACTGGTTTTTGGTATTGTACAATTGTCAGTTTTTTTTTCCTTAAGTTTTTGATATTACTTGATAAAAATGTAACATTATACAAAATTATGACTGAAATTTGTGACAAATAACTTGTGTAATCAAGTTAATCTTTTTAAGTTTTTGAAAAAATATAATTAACTGTTACCCTACAATAAGAAGAAAGAAAAAGAAAAAATTTATTTAAAAATTAATGTGTGTATGTGTGTGTGTGTGGTAGCACTTCTGTGCCAAATTATGGCCAGAGGCTCATGACTGGTAAAGAAGATAGGAAAACCCAAGTCAGTGTCATGGCCATAGTTGAATCTCGTAACAAATAAAAGAAGGAAAATTTTAGGGAAGTGTTAGGGGTGCTCTTAGGGGAAAAGAGGGTGTATGCTGTCACTTCTTGTGCTTTAATAATATTTTGAACAGTGAGCAACATTTTCTGTTGCTCAGGAAGGCCTTGGTTTAATGCTTCGATTGTAAGTTGATAATTTAATTTTAGACTCGTGCCATATTTCAGTTTTTCTCTAAAATATTTTTCAATGTCATTTAATTTAGAATAATTAATACTAACAAAATCATTAACCCGTTCGTGACGGGCACCTCTGTTAGTGAAGCGTTCTCTTAGGACAGTGCGTTAACCGGATGCGTCGTCCTGTGGGAACAGGCAATTTATGCTGCTAAGCCTAACTTTGGAAAAAAATTCGTATAAATGAAATTTGTCATCCAATTTTGGGTACATTATAAGAAAAACATTCAGGTAGTCGTCAGAATTAATTTTAAGCCTTTATTATATTTTCCTTAACAATTTTATAAAATACCATTCTAGAATAATATAATTTTCCCCTTATCCCACAAATAAATATATATGGAAAAATATCCAAAAAATCGCAGATTTTATTTAACACAACACACAATTAAAATTAAAAATATTAAAACTGCCTTTCATAAAAATTCAACGAGCAAACAACGAAAAGTAAGCAATGTTTCAAAATAGACAGTGTATGATATTCTTTAAAACATGGGTGTACACAAAGTCCAACGTTGCATTAGTCACAGGAATATAATATCTGCTGCTATTTTACTCAGCAAATTTGACTCATGTAGCATTTTTATATGTTCTATGGTCAGATAGTGCTTCATTTTGCCATTTAAAAAAAACAGACTTTTTACTAAGCGATACAAGATATTCGTCTCAATGCCGGAAAACTCAGAGTAATGAAGTCTCTAATGATAGAACATCTACTCCACTATAACCGATAAAAAATAAAAATAAGAAAAATTAATAAATTAAAAGTATGCCGGAGCATCGAGAGCATGTTCATTTGTTTATATAAAATGATGCAGTAAGAGCCGTTGCATTACTCAACATTAACGAACTAGCGATTGTGTATATTCTAAGTTTAGATACTGCTTTTGTTTGCCATTAAAAAAAGATATGTTTCACTGATGATTAAAAATAGTCATCTTAAAGCATGAAAAGTCTAAGAGTAATTAAAAAAAATCTCTCATGATAGAACGTCTATCCCACTATATTGTAGAAATAAAAATAAAAAGTACCTCAATGCAGCGAGAGTACGTGCATTTGTTTATATCAAATGATGCAGTTAAAGAGACATTACATTGCTCAACACTCACCCACAAATCTCACTCTCATTCCGAAACAAAATACCAAAAATAAAAATCATTGCATAGGAATGAAGGTAAAACTTTCGATATATTTCCCCATAATAGGCATACAGCTACATCTAGTGGCAACAAAAAATATTAATTAAACGTTCTATCTAAAAAGTCAAATCTGGTACACCCGGCCGATAGAGTGAATTAAATGGCGATTCAAATATGACACACCTGGCCGTGAGGTAATGTTCACTGCTGATGCACATATGACAGGCCCGTACTGAACGGGTTAAAAGTAATAGTTTCTGCGTGGGCAAAATATGTAAGAAATTTATCTTTTATTTCTTTTCCATTCTAACTCGACACATTCATGGAGAAAAAATGCCGGATAATCTTTGGAATATGGTAACGGGTAGTTTGGCTACATTTTGGTAAGGCGATAAAGGTTACTAGCTAGGACTTTAGCAGTGTACATGGATAAAGTCAAGAGTGTGCGCAATGCCATTTTTGTGCAATTCTGGGATGTTTTTTTAAGTGAAAATAGGTCGACGTGTACATGGATACCGTGTATGTGCAATTCTTAAAAACGTGGCAAGCAGTTTCCGATTCTGCATTTTCTCCCAATTTCGCACCTAATCTTCGTCATGATTAAGCACTTCTGTTCCATGAAAGTCCTAGCATAAGCGTAATTTGGCTAGCACATTGTTAGAAAAAAATGTTGAGTTAAAAAAAAAAAAAAAAACCATGCCTTTACTTCATGAAAACAAAATGGCATCCAAACAAAAACTAGCAGGTTGCTGTAGCAGGGTTGGTCGCCAAAAAATCGCAAGGTACCATAATCCAAAGATTAACCAAAATGCCATGTAGGCACTCTGGTGTGTTTTTGGTGTATTTAATTATGGCAAAGCACACGAGGGCTATCTGCCTAAGGGGAGGAATGCCTTTCGTGGAGGACTTTCTAAGGGAAACTGGCTCGTATACACGTTACACATGGGGAAAACCACGAAAACGCCCATGCAGCCAGCCCGTTCGCGGGATTCGAACCTCGGACCGAACTACCAGTGTTCAGCGACTTTACCGCTCGGCCGCTGGTGGGCCCTTGTAGGCACTCTGGAAAAAGTAAAGACTTATCATTGTGTGTATTTTTTAGTTTGGCACTTTTTCTCAAAACAATAAACAAAATTATGAATGTGTATATCATTATTAGAGCCATCAAAGATGGCACACTGAAATTTATTGCTAGTAATTGTCACAATTTCAGTTTTTATGCATTTGCTTTTGATTGAAATCGAGTTTCCATTATTAATTTTTACTTTTTCCTGATGAATTTGCACCAATATTTGAAAAAAATTTTTTTGAAGCACCGATAGTCACTTTGCACGTGGAAAACCCAAATTTGAAGCACCAATCTTGAATATTGAATCACTTTGCACGTATAACACATAGCACT